GCTCCAAAAATTATTCTACGTGTCACGTGACAGGCTGTTTGCCACAATTTACTTTGCTAATGAGCGGGCCGGCAAACCCTCGCATGTGCGCAAACACGCGTTAGTTTTTTTTTTGCGCGGTAGGCTTCCTTTTGACCACGGTGTCACGTGACCAAAAATGACGTACACGAATTTTCAGGAGCCTATATCTCGCGAGGGATCGCGAGTAGGGCGTATGGTTCCTTTGAATTTATTGTTCGCACACAGGGACTACAGTTTGGGGGTCGCCACCCCGTTATTCGGAAAGTAAATTTTACCATTGGGACTTTAATAGAGCTGTAAAACATATTGATAGAAACAAAAAGTCAAAGGAACCGTGCCTCACGGAAATTTGTAAAGAACGCCCACTAGGGGGCGTCCCGGGATGCTAGTAGTATATAAGGAGACGAGAAATTAACCCATTTATCTGCCTTGTATGTAGAGTTGCTGCTGAACTACAGATCATGAATTCAGAAGATGTCTTTCTGACAGGAGACACGAAGTATTTGAACTTTGTGACATGCTTATCAACAGACCAGAAGTGGACATCAATGTATGAACATTTATGCTTACTCTCGCTAGTCGCTAGCTTTCTAAGGCAGTGACAGACGAGAGCAATACGCGATCTAACATGCAACAAATAAAATGTTCGCTCGTTTGGACAGCCTGTGAACACTTCTTGTCAGTCTTTACCATAAACACAAAGGGTTTTGTCGGCGCAGCATTCTTTATTACCGATGCTCACGCACACCTTGGTACTGATACGTCTAATACAAAATGATCTTTACGAATCTTAAACATAAGACATAAGTTTATTAGATATAATTGACAAAAACTTAATCTTTCTGAATAGTCGGACATTTTTTAACCTATTATGTTATTAAAAGTGATCATAAGTATGACTACTTGATGTCAGTATTCAGTTTTTTCTATTTCTATTGATTATAATTTCACAATTCATACATATTCTTGTTGAGGAGGCTTCTCAGATTATATAAGTGTATTTTTCAAAACTATATTAATAACAATATTTCATGAGATGAGCTAACTTTTCAACGTGTCGTATACGACACATTGGGTCTCTATGTGACAATAATTATCAATACATAACAGTGTATGAACTATTTTCGTATTAGCAAGTTATTTACTTCTATGGATATTTGGTGATTAGGACCGCAATATGTATTCTACTATTTATTATCATTTTTATTCAATTAATTTATCAAAAAAATAATTATTTATTTTTATTAATCACAAATTTCTGTGAATTTTTTTGTCTACTTATTTATTTGGTCTGCAAGATTTTTTTTTTATTAAAAACTTATAAATTCTTAATATCATTAATCACATATTTATAATAAATGTCAATGATTTAGTTTTAATTTCTCATTGTCAACAGTCGAAAAAAATAATAAACATTATAAGACACACGATAAGACACATGATATTGATAGAAATTTGTCTGAAGTGGAAGGCTGGTTCAGTAATAAAGACATTGATAAAACATTTGTTCTTTGAGCAGACTGTCCTGGAGAGTGTAAGTCATTAGTCTGCTCAAAGAACAAATTTAAAAAAGTGTCAAAATCGCTATCACATTCAGACAGTACAGGCAATAAGAAAAAAGGGATCAATAAAAATGACGAAAAAAAAAAAATAATCCTACAAAAAATACTTCAACTTTGCATCCCAGTGAAATACAATGCAAAAGTGAAGCAAAACACATGCCAGAAATCATTGTAAATTGCAAAAATTACCACTGCCCAATGGAAGAATGTAAAAGTGTATGAGCTACAGTGTACTGTATCAACTGCAAAATACATCTGTGCCTTGGTAAAATAAAAATTGTTTCAAAGCATATCATATGTAAATATAAAATGTCAAATAATGTACAAAAACAGTCAAATAAACCATTTTTACATAAACGGAAAAGTTTGCATTTTGTATAGGTAGAGAACCATTGTGTCATATATGACACGTACCATTTTTTTAATGACCAAAACAAAAAAAATTTTAGAAAAATGACAATTTACTAATAAGTGACACCTAAAGGTCAAAAGCATAACAAAACTTCAATAAAAAATAGTTTTTTTCAGTAGTGGATCCCAAGAGGTTAAAACGCTACGGGACGAGGCTCAAATTGTTAAAAATCGGGACGTCTGGTCACCTTATATTAAGAGATTCGAAAAAGATCCATTTTCTTTATGTCTGCACAAATTTCATGCTTGCCTTGAAGTGCAGGACAAGGAAGTACGAACTTATGCAGTACGATTACGAAACCTAGCATTGGATACGATTACAGAACAAACTAGCGAAGAAGCACAGGAGCAGGAGGTCATTAAAAGGTGTCAACTAACAGAAACAGACAAACGATTGCTGGTGTAATTGTTGAGTGGGCTTAATGATCGGATAAAGCGACAGGTAATGTTACGGAAATCTGACATCACACGCAGTGATTAGTGAGGAAACTGTACACCAATTAACGGCAAAATCACAAGCGATAGTGCAAACTATATATAACTCTAGCGACAATAAAGAGGAACCTAACGCTACAACCCACACTCCGTTAGAAGAGACGTTGGCGAAAAATTCAAGATCAATTAAAGCAACCGGCAGCCCTTGGAACGGGGTCGAGGTGACTCTAGACATAAACGCCATATTCTGGGGAATATTCAGAACAACGAAGACAACGCCACACCGTAGAACTATAGACCAAACAATCAAGCAAATACAAGAGCAATTACATGAAGTTTGACGGCAGAGAAGCCAAACAGATTTTCCCAGGCACAGAGGCAACAATGCTAGAAACTGATATAGGGACCTATTCGATGACCCAAGAAACATAATAGGCGGCATGCGAAATCAAACATACAATTCTTGACACAGACCGAGACGATATGAAACTTGACAACATTTAGGCGACTCAAGAGTTGACTGAGGAACCCGATTAGTTTACTTCGATTCCAGATACAGCAATACAAGAAACCGACGACAGAGCCAACAGAAACCGACGAACTTTAAGAGACAATTTTAGGCAAGAGAGAAAAAATACACCTGGGATAAGAATATCTAAGTTCAGTGACGCAACAACTCATCGTAATTTTAGAGCGTACAATGCGGAGCATACATTGCATTGTCTCATTGATGACTTAGCAACCCAATTAGCCATAGATACCGCCTCGAGATCACTGGAACACAGATTAGGCACCTTCAAATGAAAAAATAACAGGAGCGAGATACCATTCCGAAGAATCAACGGACAGAAAATCAACACCCACAAAGAAACAATTTCTTATTCCGAATCGGATTCTTGCAATTTTCCTACCCACGCTATATCGTAGACGATGAAATTGTTGAACGTGAGATAAGTGTGTGAACACAACATAATTTTACTCCTCTATATTAAAGCGCCATCTGCGGTCGAAATTGGCATAAATTCGGCATTTTATTTGAAGCATTTACAACATTTATAAAAATTATAAGCAATTTAAGTGTTTTAGAAGTATTCTACGGAGGTAAAAATGTAGGTACACACTTGAGAATCTCAGAAATACAAATGTTTGGTGTTCATTATTATTATTTTTTTGTTATCTTTTACAAGTTAGTATTTCTTATATGTGATTTGATTTGTACATAAAAACTAATGTCTTTTCTTCCGATTTTTTACCTCTATGTTTTTAGAAACTATAATTAACTCACAAACTGTCAGAATACTTTTGTATTTATTAATTGTAAACTTAGTAGTTTTTTTTTTTAATTTTTGTTTGTTATGGCACGTCAAAATTGGTCAATAATCAGTACGTAGCTTATTTGTGGCNGATTTTTTACCTCTATGTTTTTAGAAACTATAATTAACTCACAAACTGTCAGAATACTTTTGTATTTATTAATTGTAAACTTACTAGTTTTTTTTTAATTTTTGTTTGTTATGGCACGTCAAAATTGGTCAATAATCAGTACGTAGCTTATTTGTGGCAGGACTCTGAAAATTCTTTACTTATAGGAACCTATAATATCTGAAACAATTATGCTTACGCTGTCTTAATTTTCAACAATGCCCGGTACATTGGATAACTGCGTAACGCCTGGTTGTGCAAATTGGACAAAAGTACAAACGAGTACGAAGTCTGAAAGTATAAAGTTTTCTTCATAAACCTTATTGTTAAAGCCAAACGAATTGCCGAATTATCGAGCGATAAACTCGATGCCGCTATTAAAGCAGCCGAGGTAGACAAATCAAGAATACTAGACAGTAAAAGTAGTAGTACAATCTCGAAAACGAACTCGAAATCTTCCAAGCTACAAGTGAAAAAACCANATGCCCGGTACATTCGATAACTGCGTAACGCCCTGTTGTACAAATTGGGCAAAAATACAAACGAGTACGAAGTCTGCAAGTATAAAGTTTTCTTCATGAACCTGATTATGAATTGCCGAATTATCGAGCTATAAGCTCGATGCCGCTATTAAAGCAGCCGAAGTAGACAAATCAAGAATACTAGACAGTAAAAGTAGTAGTACAATCTCGAAAACGAACTCGAAATCTTCCAAGCTACAAGTGAAAAAAAAAAACATATAACATCTTTCTTCTCTTAAATGCATTAAAGACGATTTCACTAACATCGATTAAATCGGAAAAGGCATTTTCGGTAGCAGGACTTTTCATTACTAAAATAAGAATCAGATTGACTGATCCGAGTATTGAACATCTTTACTTTTTAAAATCTTATTATAAAAATTTACAATAATATTTTGTATTATGTTTTATTTAAAAAACGAAAATTACCTTTTAAGTTAGAGTTTGACCTAAGTTCATTTTTTTTAAATTTTCAACTCAATTCAAAGCATTTTATTGTTGTTGTTGTATGTTGTTTCCGGCAAACTTTAAGAAATTTTTTCTATTTGTGAAAATTTCTACGTAATTCAATGGTAATTTAAATATATATCTTATACAGCATTATTAATATGATTTCGGAGGTTGCAGAACGTATTAAATTACTTTGAAAAATGAAAAATAATTATATCGTTTGATTTCATGATATTTTCTATAACTTAAAAATAATCAATTCTGTCCTGGGATGTGGCCACATGAAAAATGTGTACTTATATTTAATTTTTTATTATTGTTTGATTAAGTTAAGACAACGCTAGACTTGGGCGATTTTCTTAAGGGATGCCTTCCGAGAGGTCTTTTAAAGGAAAACTGTCCCGTATTTAGGCGTTACAGACGTAGAGAAACCTCGGAAAATTCCTCGTGGCCAGCCCGTCCGAGCGAGGCACCAACACACGACCGAATTCCCAGTGTTCAAGAAACGAAGACCACTTGGCCACTTACTTTAAATTCATTTCTTAAATACTCAATAAAGTTAAGTACAAATGTCTGAATGACAAGAATAATCACTGTATTCAATTTTTGCGTTTTACTTTTGTTGAAACTCTTGTTAGAAATCTATTACGAAAAAAAGCTTTTATCAATTTTCACGTTTAGTTCTATTTCTATTACCATAAGGTATTACAGCAAATAAAAATAAAATACTTGCATCATCTTATATACATATAAATAAAGATCTTTGTTTATTTGTTCGTTATACATTCCTGTCTACTTGATCATTTAATTTGCGCCATTTCCTACCATCCGAGTATCGCGATAAACTTGACAATGGTAGTCTAATATAACCATACGGCTTTTATATTATTGTGTCTTATATTATAGTTTTTGATTTATATAAGTACAAAGGTTATCTTATATAACAGTTTCTCACACCGAGTGACCAATCTAAGACATTTAAATTTTTTTTTATTTTTTTACAGTACACAATTGATTGAATTTTGTACCTTTCTAGTTATACAAAGCAAATACTGTAATATAATATAATACAAAAATTAAAAGTAATCTTAACGTTTGCCGTTATTTTTTTACCGAGCAACGCCAAAGCTAATCTGCTATCATATCTATGAAATTTCAATTGTGTTACAGTAGAGTCTCGAAAACTCGGCACTCGATAACCCGGCAGTCCGGATAACTCGACCACACCCTGGCAGGGCAAAAAAATCCTTAGTTAATTAATTTTCATTATAGACAGCTTTATGCCTCATAAAGTATTTTTCTGGGGTCTGTCATATCAGGTAAATAACTGTACACAGTGTATTCATTAATTTTCATTTTCATGTAGTAAAGGCTTTATGCCTTCATAAAGGACGTACTTTTCCTTTGTTTAAGGGTATTTGGGCAGTTTATTCTCTGTTGTACTCTCAAGTAAAGAATACATACAAGTACAGTACAGTATTTTCTGAGGAAACACTCGTACTTATTGTTTTTAACGCCATTCCCGATAACCCGGCATTTTCACAAATTCGACCACCCTTCGGTCCACATTACGCCGAGTTTTCGAGACTATTGTATCTTAAAAGGAAAATGTAATTTTAAATATGTGGCTAGTTTATAAAAGTTTCCAGCATATAATTGCATCAAATTTTAAATTGACTATTACATCTTAATAACAATAACGACGACATTCTGGGGTGTGAATCCTCACCTCTTTACTTTTATTGTCTTTTCATTTTTCGTGATGTTCACAAACACAGTTGTGAACTTAATGTATTTTGTCAAAAGGTCAAAAGTGAAGGAGAAAATGTCATGGTGAGTGAATAAAATACACAATAACTGCACGCTCTCCTTCCATTTTTATCATATAGGGGAGACCGGGGCAACTTCGGCATGCGGGGCAAGTTTGTCAAGCGCTTTTTTTTAAAATCAAATTAAAAGGAGACTCTGGTTATAGGTTAGGCAGTTGAGTGTTATTGGTGGCTTGTTGAGTGTAGTGTTTTTTATTGTTCTCCAACAAGCGTAGTTGAATTATCAAGCAAATTTTCATTTTCGTTCAATTCCATATAATATTTTGCTTCCATTTATATTGAAATGGCAGGTTTTGTTATAATTCCACGATAACGAAAGTTACTTTTCCTGTTAGAAGGATGTAACTTCAACTTATTCACGTGGCCAGATCGTGGCTTGGCATTCTGTTCTCAGGGTTGTACTTAATGTTTCGAAATCATGACTAGCGGGGTAAGATCGGCAACATAAAGCCACATTAGAAGCAAAGGATAAAAATCAAACAGATGATAAATGAAAACATGTTTGCATTTGTTATTCATGTATATATGTCTTTGAACTTGCATTTCGTTGTAATAATATTAAATGGGTGTTGGATTTGTATTTCT